CGCATCTGCGTTATCTGCTGTTGTAGGTCCGCGCGCATCTGCATGAATTGCTGCTGTAAACCTACGAACATTTCCTGAAACATGCCTTTTACTTCTCCGAGTGTAGAGTCGCTTTGCTCATCGGCGTTTTCCTTTGCCCTTCGTTTATGCGGTGGCGTTTCTCCACTCATCGACGCGGGAACGGGCGTCGCCGGAGCTCGAAGAGGTGTCGACGCCCTAATGGGTGTTGGCGTGGTATGGGTCATCTCTGAGTGTTTTGGGTTCTTAAGCTTAGCGTTTTCTACTTTAAGCATTTTTACCTCTTCCCTTAGCGTCGCGTTTTCTCGCTTTATTTGCTCTAACAACTGTCTGATCTGTGTTATTTCCTGTTCTAAGGCGGACCCCGCGCGTGTAGGTGTAACAGCAGTGCCAGAGACCGCGTCTGCAAAGCTCACCTGTGCCTGAGTTTCTACCGCTCCTCGGCTGGATTGCAATCTTGACGTTGCCCTGGATCTCGATCGGGTTCTCGATCGGGTTCTCGAACGGGTTCTGGACCGGGTCCTCGACCTTGGTCTGCGACCGGGCTGCTTCCGACTGTCTCCCTCGTATGGTCCCGGGGGTGAGCCTTCTGTGCGATGGCCTTCTGATCCCTGGGTGTTCTCGCTCGTTGCTTTGCCAGCTCGTTTGTTGTAGTCGTTGATGCCGTATGGTGTTTCGGCCTCCGCTTCTTCTCTTCTTCGTCGCTCCCAGCGTCTTCGCCGGACCAAATACGGTATCTTGTACTTTGCCTTGCAGCGTCTGTCTTTCTTTTTTTTCTTGCGTTTTCATATATATATAGATACTATGCATGATATCAACGTCGACGCCGACGCACATGGCAAAATCCAGCCAAGAGTGTCTGTGTAATTGCTATCGCAATAAAAGGCGATTGCGAGACAACTATACGCGAGCACAAAAGCATATCTGTTCAAAAACTTAAGTTGCCCAATTGTCAAAGACCAATTCCGCGCGGCGGCAGCTTTGAAAACATAGCTTTCGTAGCTGTAGAAGACAGCGTCTCGTTCCTTAGCGTGTCGCGTTTACCGTCACCAAAGGCGAGGGCATGCTGGCTGTGCACCAGCGCAAGCAGACGGCAGAAAAAGGAGCAGCTATTTTGAACTCTAAAACGTCACGCCAGTAAACATCAGATGAAATAAGTAAATTACTGAGGGTACTCCTGAAACCACCACGAAATTGAGCGATGCTTCATTGACTCGGCAATGCGCCGAACCAAAGAGCACGCCGAGCTAAACGCATGCTCTGATACGAAATGCCTGGTTACAGCCCCCCTCTGCACTTACAGCCTTTAACGATAAATTAAGCCAATACAGTTAGCCAGGTGTGTGATGCACCGTAATGTAAGCTTATTATGAAGTTTGACATATACAAAATGACAAATATACGAAGAAAAATTCTATTGAGTTTATAGCTTTGGTTGTTTATTACCTCCTCACAAAATCGCGCTTCGCTCATCGTTGGGCGTTGATGCCAGTGGCAATAGGTTTCCGACACTTTTTGTTGCAACTTTGGCAACTCATGTACTTTGACAATGCTCCATGTATGTACCTAATCCATAGAGTAATATATAATAAGTTGAGAGATAAGACTGCCATAGTATGCTGCGACTTTATTGAGTTCGCAGTACTCCAAATGATTGTTGGGGAAACTTTTCAGGGCCTCAGAGAAGGGAGACCGCAGAAAATAAAGTCTCGAAGGGCATGTTTTAGTGATTAGGAGTATTATACAGTCTCCCAGAACAATTTTATGTACGTTTTCGGCAATGAGCCGATAGTATAATATTTTAACGTGTCATTTGAAAGCACCAATTAGCTTCTTGTAAGCTGCACCGCCAGAGCCGCGCGCAGACGATGCCACTGTGTGTCTATGCACACAGTTTAACTAAAACATGACAATCGTCGGAGCAGCGAAAACTTTTTTTTTATTTTAAGTTATATTCTTGATAGGCGAAAACCCCTTGTGTTAATATTTGATGAACACGGGTACAAAAAGAGATAGTTTCATCACACTGCAAGACGCGGAAGTACAGCTGAAATATCATGAGTATGAATTATACACAACAAATAAACGTATAGGCAACATTATAGAAGAAGATATACAGAAGAATAAAACTGCAATAAATGCACACAAGTATGCTTACAGTGCACAAGCAACAGGGCAGTATTTGCCGTAGCACTTGATTTCTGCACGAACCGAAACGAACAAAATGTTGGCTGCGTTTTCTTTGCCATCTTCGCAAAAGTTTTCTCGTATGCACTTCACAAGGTTTCTCACGAAAAACAGTCCCAAGCAGTTGTCGCAACAAAACCAAAGAAATTTAGTTCTCAAGCAAGCTGCAGACGAAGCAGGAGTGTTCACTCAAAATTGATTGATTGATTGATATATGGGGTTTAACGTCCCAAAACCACCATATGATTATGAGAGACGCCGTAGTGAAGGGCTCCGGAAATTTCGACCACCTGGGGTTTTTTAACGTGCACCCAAATCTGAGCACACGGGCCTACAACATTACCGCCTCCATGGGAAATGCAGCCGCTGCAGCCGGGATTTGAACCCGCGACCTGCGGGTCAGCAGCCGAGCACCTTAGCCACTAGACCTACCGCGGCGGGGCTGTTCACTCAAAATTACGCCCTAGTTTTAGCCAACAAACATTTTTTTTTTATTTGCCGCTTCTCTCATTCGTGCCCGTTGTAGCTTTAAGCAGTTTGCGAATGCCACAGATAACAATACTTAGCATAAATGCCCTTTATCAAAACCTCACGCATTCAGTGAATTCGAATACTTGTGCCGGCACAAAGAAAACATAACAACGCGAGCGGAGACTAACGTTTTTGAGCCACAAAAAAAAAACAAGTTTCTCGTAAACTTGTGGCGCAGCAATAAAACAGTTTTTTTTCGTGTGAAGCAATCCACGAAAGTATTACACGAAACGAAGAGCAAAAAAAGCTCCCTGCACCGAGCAGAGCAATGCAAGAAATGTTAGTTCGACGCTTCAATGACGAATTCCATACACACTTTACAAAGTAATAATGACGTTCGTATCCAGCAGCAGCCAAGCTGTGAGGCAAACAAAAGAAGCGAAGACCATGACGCACGCCAGACACGTTATAGCACAACTTATTCGGGTCTCCCAGCTGCTGTCCGTAATTCTTCATAGCTTTAAATGCTCATGAACGCGGAGTGTGACAACATTACCATCGCGTCGACGCCATGTCCACTTATCTCGCATCTGATTCATGCCAAACCCTGCACAATCATGTGCATTCGAAGGGATAAAGATGGATAAGAAAGCCACAATTGCAATCAAAAAGACACGTAGACGTATAATGCCCTAGAAGTGTACTGTAGTTGTTACCTAGTACGCGCGTTTTCATGAAAGCAGGCAGTAATGTGCTGCCATTTTACGGCCGGCGTGGACCTGAGTAGCGCTGCCGCTTTTGACCAGACCACTCTTTATTTTTGTTACTCTGTGCCGTAGCTTCGTCCGTATCGTGTTCACGCTTTTACCTTCAAATGTGTTAAACCAACAAGACTGGTCTGCCATTCATAATGAAATATTGGGAGCGCGAACTAACGGGACACAGGAAAGAAGACAAACGAGCCATTCAACGAGCCATTAGTCTGCCAGTCATACATCCTTATCTTGAATTCAACCCACTCGCATGCTTTCTTCTCTCTTTTTTTTTAACAAGAAAGACCTGTATGATGGGGTCTCTCATAGCTAGGCTGAAGAGTTTCTATCACGGATATAAGGTTGGAAATGATGCCTTAACAAAAATGAAACTAAGACAGGGATTCTCGCCACCAGGACGCGAACCTACTATCTTCCACTCCACAGCACGTTTCGGATAATGACTCGACAACAAACCACACGTTTCAGTAGTGATAAGTGTGAGCTATTGAAATGCCTCGTTTACGTTCAGCGGCACTCATATTTCAGTGACTTCAAATTGTTCTTGTTAAGACTAGCGAGGTATAGCTCACCTACACTGGTGTGAAGGTTAGCTATAAAGATTGTCGCTCCTGCGCGTTTGCGATGCATGCTTATTCCCTTCTGTCGAAGGAATGAATTAACGGTCACGAACCTTTGTGAAGACATTTCATTTCACTTTAGTGTTCCAAATCTGCCATTTACTAGATCACCATACAGCAATCAGCCATATATCTAGTGGTTACGGCGCTTTATTCCTGATCCGAAGCTTGCGGGAACAAATTCTGGTGGCGGCAACTGCATTTTATAGGGAGGGTGATATGCTCAACACCCCTGTACTCTGATCTTGGCGCATGTTGAAAAACCTCGGGAGGTCAAAATTTTCGGATCTCTCCAGTACGGCGTCTCTCGCAATCATATATTGGCTTCGGGGCATTAAACCTAAGCAATAATAGTTAGTTTTACATGTGTGCGTCACATAAATGGATAAAAAGTTCCAGTATATCCACGGAACGAATGATGATGAGTGGAGCGAAGCATCCGTTCGTCTGTCTCTCTGTCCATCTGTTCGTCTGTCTGTCTCTTTGTCCGCCTGTTACTGTTCTAGTCTGTCTGTCTTTCTCCTTCTGCGCGTCTGTCTGCTTGTCTGTCCGTCTATCTGTCCAGGCATCCGCCTATCCATCTGTCTGCCCGTGCATCCATGCATCCGTCCGTCGGTCTGTCTGTCCGTCGGTCTGTCTGTCTGTCTGTCTGTCTGTTTGTTTGTGTTTGTCTGTTTGTCTGTTTGTTTATCAGATACTGCTGGTTACGCCTGACGCTGGATTAACATGGAATAAGAGGAGCTTCACCGCTAAAAGAGTCGTGCTGTATGTTCCTTCTATCCGTGCGTTTCTTCTTTGTTAGCTATTGTGAGTGAAGATTTTTAAAGCAATCATTTTTTACAGACACTACGTGGCGTCCCCAGATGGATGGGAGTGCATCTCGCTTCCTCCCAGTCATGCACGCACTGCTAACAAGCGTTATGTCTGCGAGATGGAGGGCCTCGTTGTCCTGGGACGACACTGCGGCCGGTGCGTTGACGTCGGTTTTCCAGACGTGCTGCGACAACTATACCACTTCATCCAGATCCCGAGCTTCGGTGGCTCCAGGACGCCCCACAGCAGCAGGAATAGGTCTTGGAGGACTGTGCTACTGTCCGGCCCTGCAGCCACCGGCAAGCACAGCCTAGCCAGGGCACTGAGCAGTGGCATCCGGGTCTGTTCCGTGTCCTACGTGTACGTGCCGGAGTTGCTGTGTAAGCCTAAGCACATGCTGGAGCCGGTCATCAGGAGAATCTTCGACGCCTCTGCAGCGGTGGTACCCGTTGTCCTCATCCTGGATAGGGTTGACGAGATATGCAAGCTGGAAGCCTGTGACGCATCCAAGGTGGTACACTTAAATTGGTACATTATAAACTCTACACAATCTGGTATCCAGGCTTCTTCTTCTCCGTTGAATGGCCATCAGATTTAGTGCTGAAGTGTTCAAGTTAATAGAATATCAAGATTTCTATGACCACCTGGTCAGATGCAAGGGCTTAGTCAAAAATCTGCCTGAGGGCATTCCAACAGTTCCTTACACGTATTCTCGCGTCTATTTGTATGCGCGGCTATACAATTTGAAGAGTACTATTACCAGTGTTCAGATGGCCCTCTGAAGTGCAGAAGAAAGCTTGTACGTCAGCTAGGAGCGCTTGTCGTGAATAGATCTCAGTGCCGTTCGCACGACACTTCAAGGCACCACCAGTGGTGAGTGAGTGAACGGACGACAGCTATTTCATAGTCATAAAGAGTGCACTCCCGAAAAACTGTAGTTTTTTATGGCATTTTCAAAAAAGTCGTGATTATGATGGCTTTGATAGATGGTAAGAAGGCTCCACAGAACGAGCTTTAACTGCTGCTGTAGAAATACGCGTAGACATGCACAAGCTAAGTTACAAACTTAGTTCGAAAGTGAATTCGTGTACGAAAAATTTTAGAGCCCTGGGATCAAGTCTATACGGGGACAGAAATGAGCAAACTTTGAACAAACCTTAGATGTGCACCGATCTTTTGTCGCTTCAACACGCATCTTCAAATGAATAAAAAGACATGTATGTAGTCCGTGTGAATGTGTTATGACAGAAGAATACTTTTGGCTTGTAAATTACTTGCACGCAGCCAGGTTCTCGCTCAATAACAAAGCGTGTAGTAGCGGCTAAGTTAACCTTGTTAGAGAGAATATAAACAGCGGTTTGTGAATATTACAGTTTTCTCTTGATTCTTAATGAAATTTTTCGATTCCACTTTCGAAGAGCTGGCATTCGAAATTAGCATAAATCGACCGGGCGAATATCGAAAACGGGACAAAGGCCGAGGACGCAACAGATCTGCGGTGACTAGAACAAATGCCAAATTCGTTACAGCTAGCTTTTAGTTAAAACATACCCTGATATCCCGGTTTTCAAGTGACCGCATCTTTAGATTACTGAAGACTATGTATTTTCTACACAAAAAAACACAATAGAAAACTTTGAAGCGCTTTACCACTCCGCTTTCAATGCAAAGACAGTACGCTTCTTGCGTATTTTGGTCGCCATGTCGCAATCGCCATTAAACGTTCCAAACTTTAACCCGTGATACCCTTGCTAGTTGGCGTCATGTGTTTACATTTGTACAAGCTTTGCAGTCACCACTGCTGCGCCACACGACTCGTTTGCAGGTGAAAAAAAAACTAATAAGATCTGCACGGAAGTCGGAGCACAGTCACAGCAAAAGCTACGCTATTATTTGCCTCCGTCGGAAATGCGAGGTACCGGCTACGCAGTTGCAAGTCACTATGCGCACTTTGACATGCGGTGGCTCTGACAATGACGACTTTCGGCAGAGCCCTTTGTGACGGGTTCGGAGCACTTAACGACCCGCTCGTTACGCTCTTCGCATTGTGTGATTACGGGTTACAGAACTCGCATCGTACGATGCTTGGTTAGTATTTTGCTCTCGTTAACCATGTTAACGTGTACCAAACATTGCGCCCTGTACAGTGTCTTCCTTGCAGTTGAGTTTTGAGCACAGGCATGGCTCTGTGGTAGAGTACTGAGTTGCCACAAAAACGACGCAGGCTGGGGCCCAATTCCATGCTGGTTGTTTTTTTCTTATTTCCTAAGATATTGGCTTCGGGCACAGGTGGCGGACAATAATGGCGCCGAAAACGACCCTTGTTTTGATCACATAATAACTTTCGCTATAAAACTTCTGAAGATCCCACGTATTCTGGGAATCAATGTTATGCGGAGAGAATGTGACAGTGTTGTAATTTTTTACAGAGCGACATGTTACGAAATAACGCTAAATAAATGTACAAATGTGTAGCGCAGAGAGCGCCGACATACGTTCAACAGTCACATATATTCAATATAAGAAGGTATTTGTCGTTGCGTAATTATGCCAACAGCAACATAAGACTGCAAACACTAGAGTGGTAAGCTGATATGTAGCACTGGGTTAAAGCGCTGGGATTGCGTAGTTATTTATGCCAGTCGATTCATAACTAAGCGTAGCCAGCTTCGTAAAACCCGATGAAGCCAAGCACAAAAAATTGAATGTTGTCAACTCAGCTTGCCTTTGTCCCGTTTAGCCAATTTGAATGCAAATGAGCCTAGTTAAGAGAATGTAGGTGTAGCCGAATCTAACCTAGCCTAGTTGAGCGCGGTATTCTCCGATAAATACGAGCGTAAGTAAGTTTGAGCCCTGCTCAGGTTGATGTCTTTAAGCGTAGTAAAGCTTCGATGCATCCAGTTGAGTCGAGAAAGCACTCGTACTTCATATATCCAAATCCAATTAAACATAGTTATCCATGCCATTGCCACACTGTGTTGGTGGCAGAAGAAGAGAGCGTAGGAGTGGCTGCTGTGGACGAGTAAACAGTCGCTCGCTTCGAGTCCCTGGTTCCCCTCGCGAAAAACAAATGGAGACGTGGGGTACTGCGACGTCTTATGCCGGTTGGTCCTGAACCAGAAGCAACTAACGCCAGTACACAAGGGTCTGCTGATATCCGTCGAAGCAGCCGCCGCCTTAGTACGGCCCCTTGAAAAGCGAGGACAATGTTTGCCACATCCTCATCCTAAACCCAGCATGACCCATTAACCAGCGTACCCTATCACATAAGCACGCCTCGAACACCCAACCCATTCAACGACGATGCCGTTAAAAACATGGAAAATTGGCTCGACTATTTGAACCGGGTAACTGCCACTAACGACGGAGACAATCACCGAAGAATGTCCCCCACAAGTCCGTCTTAGACGCTGCAACAGGGTGCTACGAGAACCACGAAGCTTCTTCCATGAGTTGGCGAGAATCCCATTGGGAGCTTCACGAAGTCTTCAGTAACCTTGAACGGAAATAGAAAGAGGAGCAACCACTGTCTTCATGGTATTAAATGTCAAACGAGAGCATCGCCATGTTTGTTGCAGAGATGTCATTTCGATGGGCTGACGCCTACATGCCAGAAGAAAAGTAGCTGCACCTGTTATTGCGAGGCTTAATGGAGCAGTTTTTTGATGGTGTTGTGCGCAACCCTTTTACGACAGTGCCGAAGTCATACGTGAGGCCACAAATATAGAGTGCATGCTTCAAGTTTAAGTTTAATTATTACTATTGCATGTGCAGAAAACGGGTTACTTAATACATACAGTATCAGGAGATCACGAAGTACGAGTCTGTCAGGGGGACCTCCTATATTCAGTGGCATACATAAAAACTAACAGCAGAAAAAGAGTGAACAAATAGATTAACGCAGTTACCACAGAACGATCTATACCAAAAAGAAAAATATATTTACCAAATCAGCATTATAAAAAGCATAAAATGGCCAATAAAGAACAGTGAAGTAATAATGAAAATTAATTTATAACAGCAGTTGTCGCAGTATGAGCGTCAGATGGCCATGTACGCTGCGTGCTCGCTTCTGCCAGGAGGTTATGGCAGGGAGTTTCTCACAGAACTCATACGGCAGGTTCTACGCGAACACCAGAAATATCATGCAGCATTCCCTTTAAGTAGCCCTGCTCTTGGCGACGTCGTTTGGAACGAAATCAGGCAGTACCTTCATTCCTCACCATCATCGCCAGCGGAACCGCCCACGCTTGCCCATGCGAATGCCCCTGCGCGTCTCTACGCCATCAACGGCGCGTTTTGTTCATGCACCTGCTGCAGCCATTCGACGTCTTCCAAGCCTGGCCCATCACCCAGCTTTGCAGATGATTTACATTCTGGACCGTGGAAGTCCACTGTCAATATGCATGCGACAATCTTACTTTGTGCTTATTAATTGTTGCGATGATAGGCCCATGTACCGTGACTTTTATTACCTACGAGTAAGCCTACGCAGATTACATCTAGGTGCCCGTGCTCCACGCTATGGTGAGCGTCCGCAACAAGTTGATGAATACTTGGAAGGCAGTCATCAGTCATCAAGCTCGTTCCCCGTCGCCACGATAGTCGTAGTCATTATCACGCCGTCCGTCAGCGTAACACACCGCCCCCGATGAGCCTTTGGGTCCCCTGGTGTCAGAGGCGCAAGCGCACGCCAGAGAAACTGAAAACGTTAACCCCCGGAGGTGAGGCTGCTGCCGCGCGAACCGACAAAAAGCTTTCCGCCGCTGACTCGCGACATACTGTCAAGTCTGCTTCTGAAACTGCCAACAGAACGTCTGCTGCCATTAGCGTTTCCGCCGACTTTTATCTGGTGACTGCACTTGTCGACATGGGAGCTGATTACTCGTTGTTGAGTGCTTCATTGACCCCCCGTCTACACAAGATGCTGACAACGTGGGACGGCCTAACTAATCACCGCTTGAGGACACCTCGTATCCCCTATGGGAAGGCGTACCACCACGCTTAAGATTTGTGCGTCGGTTTTGTGGCATTATTCCTAGTACTGCTCGAATGTTCTCGGCCGGTCATTTTAGGTATGAATTTTCTTCAAGTGTTTGAAGCAATGATTAACCTGCGTGATTTGTTCTCCAGTCTCGTTATCCCTATTTCGCAGGATTCGGACATTGACAACGAATATCATGGCGTGGCCTTACGTGTATTTGATGATTGCGTGACGTTGCCGCCTTGCAATAGTATTTCCGTTTTCATGGATCGTACGGAGCACCAGCCAATGAAGGATATCACCGAAGGGAACTTCACGTTATTGGTCAATTCAAAAGTCGCCATCGCTCGAAGTATCATTCAATTCCGGCATGCCCATATTACGGTTTTACGAACTTTGGTGGCTAATACACGCATTTTGCGAAATAAACCACCGTAGCTTACTTGAAGGCATTGAATGATTTGTATGCCTTCCCTTTGGTTAAGAAGATCTCGACTGAAAACAGCTGCGATACCGACATGATTTAGTCACCTCAATGTCGATCGCCAGTTTGAACAACTTAAGCGGGCAAGGCTCATCAGTCTCCTCTAATTCTTCAAGACTATTGCATTTTACAATGAACGCTTAGTTTATCCGAGCAAAACTAGCCCAAATAAGGCAAACTTTATTGAACCCAACTAATCCAAGTCGACTTCCTCATGAGAATAGAGGCGTGAAACCCTGGAAGATACTAATTATTGCTTACTAACACTATACCCATTCAGCTCTTTTATCTCTAATTAGTGTCACTTCAGATGCGATATCACTTCAGATGCTGAATAATTTATCTGATACTGAATTACATACGAAACACACTGAAGTTTTTCGCGGCACAATTAGTCTAAGTATGAATAACTAAGCTGATGAGGCAGCGCCAAGGTAAGCATGGAAAAAAATTCAAATAAATGTGATTCTTCATGGCATCATCAAACTCGTCTCATTATAATTTGGTTTATTTAAAACACTTTTAATGAAACACAAAGTAACTGAAGTTGAATTCATGAGCTCAGAGAATCCAGGCTGAGGATGATACTAATACTAATCACCCTGTGAAATCTAGTTAATTAAATAACTTTACTTAGCTTCCCAATTGAGGTTAATTAGGTATTCGTGCTTGATGCGTTTATTTCATGATAACAACGCTTATATAAATTCAAGTTGTCCTAACGCAACATGGGTAAGCTGAGCTGAAAAAAAAATTATTCTTGTGTGCTTGGCTTCATCAGGTGTTGCAAGAGTGGCTGCGCTTAGATATGCTGATAAACCGGTATGAATAACGTGAGACCGGCGCTGGAAGTAGGGGCCATCGCTTCGACTATGTGAAAAAAAGAAAATAAGAAACTTGACAGATTCCACTAACAGTGGGAATCTATGATATGTGAAGCGAAAATGATGACGGTATATATGTCACCTTAAATTCGGCACGCCCCGCCGTCTGGCTAAGGTACTGGGCTTCTGACCTGCCAGTCATGAGATCAAATACCGGCTGCGGAGGCTGCATTTTCTATGGAGGCGAAGATGATGTAGGCCCATGTGGTCAGATTTGGATGCACGTTAAAGAACCGCAGGTTTTCGAAATCGAGGGAAGCCCTCCACTACGGCGTCTTTCATACCCATATGGCGGTTTCGGTACGTTCCACCCCACATATCAAAACTCAGCACAACGTTACGAGGCGGACGGACGTAGTACGCAGTAAACACAAGTAGAAATGTTATGCGCACTCACATATTTGGATAGGATGCAAGTGTACTGTCATTAGTCGGGTAATGACGGAACAACTAACGTTTTCAATACAGCACCAGCAGTGGTAGGCTGATGTGCTGTATATCAAGTTACTGAACTGGCTTCAAGCGCACCATGAGCGTGCCATGTAAATCATTCCATACATGGCAATCATGTAGTGATTCGCATGTTAGGAGCTGTAATTCATGTTCCCAATACAGTGAAGTCACTCGACACCTACTAAGGTGTATATAAAGCTAGCTAGCCGCTGTAAGCGCAACTTGCGCGCGGTATGTACTTGACTTCCATGTGACGCAGCCGTACATAATTTTCATGTCCTTATTATTATGCTTGCGCCTGGTATTCATGTTCGTCGTTCATGCTCGTCCCGTGATACCAAATTTGGTATATGTGAACCTAGCGAAACGGCCACGAGCACGCTATGAGTGTAGCATATAGTCTTGTTTTACATGACACCCATATATTGAGTATTGTGTTTGGACATGTCATTTGACTTCGTCGTTCGTTTACGTCACGTAATACCAAATTTGCTACACGCGAAGCTGGCGAAACGGCCGCTAGCGCGCTGTGAGCATGGTATGTAGTCATGTTTTTATATGACACGCATGACATGAATAACATGTTTTGACCAGTCATATGCCTTCGTCGTCCATTCACGTCACGTAAAAAAATTGTTATATGAGAAGCTAGCGAAACGGCCACGAGCATACAATGAGCGTAGCATTTACTCCTATTTTACATGACATGCATGTCGTGAATATCATGTTTGGACTTGTCATATGCCTTGGTAATTCATTCACGTCATGCAATACGACATTTGGTATTAGTGAAGCCATATTCCACAAACTGAGCCAAGTTCCACTAACTGAGCTAAAGAGAAGCACACAAAAACATTGCTTCACAGCTACACAGCATCGGTAAGTGTGGCATCATTCGGCAATGGTAGGCTTTTCTTGTGTTTTTTGCACTAAGCTGTTTGATACTTTGAAGATAATGCTATGGTGCAGGCTATACTTGAAATATCTAACGGAAAAATTTTGCACAAGTATTGTACGACTAGCCTTATTATTCTGAGTATTTACGCGTGATTACTATACAAAGAGAGCACTAAAAAGCCCCATTCTTGTGCAGGACTATTTAAATGCCTCGCTGCCGGTACCTGTATACAAACACTCCTGCTGCTTTGTCAATGTTACAAATGTTGTCGCACCACAGGTCATCTCCGAGTGTATGAAAGAGGTCCTCGACGATTCTGATAGTGACGTGCTGGTCCGTCGGTACGTGGTGGGAGTCACCAACACTCCCTGGCTCCTGACATCTGACGTGCAGGTGTTGTTCCAGCGGCGCGTCTATGTTCCACTTCCCGACCACTCGTGCAGGACCACGATCACGCAGCATCTGCTGTCAGGCTCCGACGGCTACGCGTCCTCTTTGTCCTTCGGAGACATCGCAGACGCCACGGAAGGCTTCACGAGTTCCGAACTCGCCATGTGCCTACGCAGTCCATTCTTTCACATAGACAGCCACGAAAAGCTGAATCAGCGGTTTCTGGAGCTGGTACAGGTGTCCAGTTTGGAACCAGCGCGTTGCTGCTTCTGCGTCGGTGAAGCACAACTGGAGGAAGATGAAACAACGCCACCATTGTCCAGTGTGTCGGAAGTCGGGCCAGCCAGTCCCAGCACAACGCCGCTCTTCCCTGTCGATATCGAACTCCAGAAGGCAATCGCGGCCATGACGAAAGTGCTTGCACACAACGCAAGGCCGAGACCACCGCATGGTAGCGCCGCTGTTAGGACTTCCTCAAGATCGTCGGTGCGGAACTGTACCATTTCATGATTATTTATTATTTTGACGAATATTCGCCATCAGGGCATCTATGGTATAATTGGGGTGCTGCCGGTTGTTTGAATTCTGGCTGGTTCCACACGTTTCTAGTTTCTCAGGCTTGCAGATTGGAAAAAATAAAGAACGAGCTAATATAATTGCAATGAATGTTTTGTTGAGATTACCCAGATTGCTTCTGCGAGCTCACAACGAGGAAAAAGTCGCATACTGAATGCGCACGCTTAGAGGAAGCACCTTGCGCACCGACGTAGTAATTTATTTTTCTCAGTTGATACATATATTCACGCATAATAGCTTATATGGAAGAAAAAACAGTCGTTCGCTTTCTTGTATTCGTCTTGTAAGTGAGCTTAATAACAGCACCAAATTTGCCTGCGGCATTGGTATCGTAAGGTAAGTAGAAAAGAAACTGAGTCGATGATTATCTAAAACAACAGGGGCAATAAAATTAACGGCTAGCTGTTGGGAGGCATTGAGGCACAAAGCCATAAGGCTTAACGAGTTCCGAACTTGTCATGTGCCTGCGCAGCCCGTTCTACCACATTGACAGTCGCAAAAAGTTGAGTCATTGGCACTGCGGTTCTGAAGAGAGTCTTGGCACGCTCCAACCTCGATAAATGACGCGGCACAATCTGAAGGACCTCTGGGCTGAGAACGCCTCTCGCTGGATACATTTTTTTTCAGAAGCGCTTACTTGATCTCTCTTTTTCGCATACTCTTACAACTGTATTTACGTGGATGAAATATTACGCCCATGAGTGCATGCATGTTTATGTCGATGATAACGTTTATCTACGACATACGGCCATCCTCGAGCATAGCTGCTCTGCTGTAAAGATCTTGGAAAAAAAAACTCGGATGACGCTCAAGTTTCAATGGTGCAAGGAAAAGAACGAATGCTGCAAAGGAAAAGAGCCACTGGCAGTTTCAATCTATTCTAAAATGTGTCTACCCAATGTAGAGTTGATAATTTTCTGCTGCGTCATATGTATTTTTTTTTTCGTAATTGTCAAAGTAGCCACTACTCATCCGTAAGGCGACAAGTGCGCTTGTGCAGCTGCACCTCCCATAAAGGGTAAGCACCTGCTTTTTGCACCATTCACTTGTTTTGACGCTGGTTTCTACTGTAATATTCTGACACACTATCCTGACTCGTGCGTTATGACAGATTTCGCAACGTGCGCCAAAATTCACAAATGCAACCAAACTTCCTGCAAAGGTGGGAAAAATGTATAGCCATACCTGAATTCTCACGCACGTCTGTATTATACATTATACTGCCATCGTGTCATACGCTAGAGAGATCGCAGAAGCTTTTTAATAAAAATAAATATTGATAGTTGTGTTCGCTCACAGTTGCTTTGAGATTATGAAGTCTCACTTCTGGACGACACTTGATCATAGTGGAACCTTTCCTTTTGTATTTCACTTCTTGCACATATTACCTTTCGTGAAAAAAAAACGAATTTACAGTGTGCGCTTCTTTGCCTTCTTTTTTGCATCCAATTAGTTTGCGCTGCCTATATTTTAGTCAGCTCTATTGTATTGACGGCACACATTAGGTACACAAACCTGCTTTGCGTTGACGTTACATGCAAAAAAAAAACCTACCTGAACGCCAAAAAAAGGCTGAAAGAAACTGCCGCGTTCATTTACCGCTGAGTTCTTTTAGTGCTTTGTCAACCATGATTACAACGTAGATGAAAATAATGATCATATACAATGTGACGTTATTAACGTTGCAGACAATATATCGTCCAATCTGTGAATGCTGGTAAGTTTTCTACTATATGGGATTGGCTTTGCGTTGTCAGAAGCAAATTTATTCAGGCTGAAGTATACGTTAGATCCGAGAGCGAAGCTTAGTCTTTCACAACTTCTGCATCATCGGTAGCCACATGACCTACATTGAAAGCTCTCATGTCGACTCTCAGGACAGTATGAATGTTTGACTCCTGGTTCGTTCTGAAGGCTTCCAGTTTGTCAAGCTCACTGGATGTCACCGAGGCATGGTACTTCTGCAAAACCACCTCGAAATCTTGCAAACTGAGTTCTGGTTCCAAGAGAGCCTCTTTTGGGATATCTTTCCAGGTCAATCTGATCGCTCCTGGAGTGACCGGCGAGCATGGCGTGAGAAAATCGCCTGTCTTCGATGCACTGCTGGGCCTCCTGTACCCTTCAACTTTGACAAAATGCGTAGCGGACTTGAGCTTCTGTCGCACCTCCATCTTGGCCTCTCTCTGAAGCAGCGTGAGATCTTCGCACGTATAGCCGACCGTCTTCTGCACCAAATAGAACATGTCTGCTTCTAGCAGCTGGTGACGGACATCCTTGAGTCCATTGAGCAGCATAAGTTCTCGAGTTTCGTCCGTTGGTAGCGGAACGTAAACCCACTTTCGAAACACGCGTGCCAGCGCCGGGTCCACCGCCCACGGGGACTTGGTGGCTCCAATGACGGTAACCTTTTGCTTAAAGAGTATTCCCTCAAGAAGGCTCAGGAAGTCAGCCTTGACTCTGTACAAGAATCCCGAGCTTTCGCTGCTCACTCCCGTACCACTCAGGGCGTCAAGCTCATCTAAGAAAAGCACGCTTGGTGCGTGGTTGAGGACCATCTCGAACAGGGTCCTCACGGTGAGGTTCTCATTTCCGACGAGGCACTTGGAGGCGAAGTGCTGGCACATGACGTAGAAGAAGGTCGAGTCGTTGAACTCGGTCGCCAGCGCTTTGCCGACGTGCGACTTTCCGCAGCCCGTTGGACCGTACAACATGAGACTCGAGAGCGGCTTGGTGTTCTCGAACAGCGTCGGGTGCTTGACGGGGTACACGACGTTGAGCATGAGAGCACGCTTCAGCACCTCCAGGCCGCAGACGTCCGACCAGCGCACCTGCGCCTCCCCAAGCACGACGACACCGCTCGTGTGAAATGCTTGTGCTCCTCGTGCCCGTGGAGGCTGCAGTGACATGAGTGAGCAAGTTTGCGTCAGGATTAGGAGCCGCATAGTGTGTTGTGTTAATGCAAAAAGCAAACGTGCTGTTTTCTGCACGTGAACAAATAATTGAATGGCCATGCCAAACAAGCTACGAATCGCTAGTGACTGCGCTGTGAGAGATTTAAAAATATTTTCCACAATAGATAACTTAACTTAGTTATTCCTTTCAAGCGGGACTATGAGGAACTAACTGCATGTGATGCAAAATCCGTAAACATGGGTGTGTTGAGCAGACGTTTTGACATGCGGACTTGTTTTCTTCAAGCCTACAATGTAACTGATTTCTTTAGCGCTACCATGCCTACGCTTCATACCCTCTCTTCCATCCTAAGAAAGGAACGGAAGGTCTAACAATAGACACGCAAGTGTATCAAGGTGGAAGAAAGTGTGATGCGAAGACTTGTATGAGTGAAAATAAAACACGTGTTCTCTGAGTAAAAAAAGAAAGAACATAAGGAAGCAGTGAGAAGGTAAGCATGCACACGTTTCGCGGAATCCCGGTTGTCAAACTACTTGTCAAAAGATAACAATGATAGGTTTCTATTCCCTCGACGGAGGGCTTAACTCAAACTGGCTTTCCTGAAGTATGTACCATCCAGAATGGATTCAAGAGCTGTTTAGAAGCGTTTATACCCACTGACCAGAGCGTAACGAACGTATGAATAAGATATAACACTATATATTCTATTTCTTGTGGACAGGACGTTTGACTGAAGTATGTAGAGTTTGTAATTTCCAAAGTTGTATCCTGATACATACGAATTTTCTGCCTCTATTTTCACCAATCATTTTTCACGTGTCTAACTGCGTGCAGTTGAAACAGCATTGTTTCAAGCACTCCATACACTCTTGCGACGAAAACACCTTTTGTATTTTCATATATTTACACATTTCTTACATTTTCATATATTAAATATTTACTGCTTCTCGAATCATTTAGTTTTCTTCGAAATGTATTTATTGTTGATTCAAATTCTTGTTCTCTTTCATAAACAGAATGAGATTGCAGCAAAGAACTTTAGTTATCTTTTGAACTCATTAAAGAAATTATCACACCTTAGGTATGAATCGCTGAAAACGGCACACGGAATGACCATTTAAGTATGGTATGCCTTGAAGTTAGAATTTGAAGTAAGAAGGACTCTGGAATTTTAATATTTACGTTTTGCGAGCATTTACGTGACATCATAAAGAAAAAATCATTTTCGCCGTAATTTATCAAAGGCACAACGTTGTTTCAAGCACTCTATACACTCCTGCAACGGAAATAACAATTGTATTTTTATATAATTATACATTCGTACATTTTCATATATTAAATACTTACTACTTCAATTGAATATTGACTGCATTAAACAGCTGGAAAAAGCTGCACTTTTTCTCTACAAAATGTATTATGCGATTCTTTAACTTCCCTTCGTACTAGAATAGATTTATTACAATAAAAAGCATAAATATTTTCAGCAATAAGCAAGAAATTCTTCAAATATCCGCTTGTTCTAGCAGTCTTTGCGAAAGTCGTGCCACGTTTATGGGCTTCTTTTGCTTAGATTATTTGCTGGTTAGCTCGGTAACATCTGGCCACGTTGACTTTAGGCTACCTACGTAAACACCACCTGTGGCAAAAGCCTGCCTTGCGCGACTTAGTACAAGCTTCGTGAGCCTTTTCCTGTTAATTTTCATATCACAATACGGCGAAAAGGTCTAGTTGGCGATCATTCATGTTTAAAGCAAAATCTTTTTAGCTTACATAAAACTTCGACATAAGAGCTACCATAATGACCGGTCGGCACTTGCCTAAGATCAAAATTTTATTCCTATAGCAATTATAGCAGCAGTCTCGAACGGTTTATGCTGCGCCGCCACAGTTGCAACTATCGTTGGTGTCATGTCCCGTAATGCAGTGCGAAGATTTCTCAGTGCATTGCACGTTCTACCGAGGGTTGTAGCGCGCGAGCGATGGCGACTATAAGGACACTTTCGGCTGCATTTTGCTCTCTCTCTCTCTCTCTCTCTCTCTATATATATATATATATATATATATATATATATATATATATATATGACAATGCATGAAAAAATAATCCTGAAGAAGACTACAGTGCACGGAATTGAACGTCTGATCACCAACTTCTACGCTGAAATGGCAAGCTATTTATATCTCAACATAATGATTATCTGCCTGACCACGTCCACTGCAGGACAAACACCTTTGCCATCTTGCGCCAGTCAACTAGGTCCTGTGCTTGCCGCTGCCACTTCATACCCGCATACTTCATAATCTCTTCTGCCCACCTAACTTTGTCTCCCCCGAACCCACTTCCCTTCTCTGTGAAACCAGTTAGTTACCCTTAATGACCTGCGGTTATCCTGTCTATGTGCTACTTGCCCAGCCCCTATCGATTTCTTGTGCTTGATTTCAACTATGATATCTTTAACCCAGGTTTGTTCCCTGATCCACTCTGCTCGCTGCGTCGTCCTCATTTTAAGCTGAACCCTCTTTGTAAGTCTCCTGGTTTCTGTTTTGTAGGTAAGTACCGGCAAGATGCAGCTGTTATATGCCTTCTTCTTGAGAGATTGTGGTAATCCACCAGTCTTGTTTTGAGAGTGCTAGGCGAATGTGCTCCCCCCCCCCCCATTCTTTATCTTCTGGTGACTTCAATCTCATGGTTCAGCTCCGCGGTTATTACTTGTCCCAAGTAGACATGCAACTTGAGGTGAGGTATTACCTTTCTCGAACCACTCTTCTCTTCCGAGATTTTTTCCAGAATAATTTTAGGACGTATGCTCCCTTTGTGTAATTCAGTAATGATGATTTACAATTCGTCCCCTGAATTATTCAGCAATGCAATGTCATCGGCAAAGCACAGGTTACTAAGTTACTATTTATGAACTCTTATTCCTAACTCTTTCCATCCTAGGCCTCTGAAAACCTCCTATAATCACGCGGTGAGATTGTGTCCCCTTGTCTTCCACCATTCTTCATCGCTATTTTGTCGCTTTCTTTATAGATTATTATAGTGGCAGTTGATACTATGTAGGTTTCTTGCAGGATGTTTATATATGCTTTCTGGACGCCCTGAATCTGCAGTGTCTGCAAGACTGCTGATATTTCTACTGAATCAATTGCCTTATCGTAATTTAGGAAGGCTATATACAGTAGTTGGCTGTATTCTGAGTATTTCTCTATTACCTTATTCCTAGTATTAACATAGTGGATTGTTGAGCAGTCCGTTTGAAATCCTGCTCGTTCCTTTGGTTGATTGAATTCTAAAGTTGTCCTAATTATATTTTAAATAGCTTGTATACGACGGAGAGCAAGCTGATCGGCCTGTAATTCTTCAAGTCCTTGTTTTGCTCTTTCCTTATGTATTTGTCAGCATTTTTCCAAGATTCTGGTACCTTTCTCGTCAGGAGACAGTTCGTAAACAGGTCGGATAGTTTTTTCTAATACAATATGTTCTCCTTCTTTACGCAAATCTCATGTTACCCGATCCTTACCAGCAACTTTGGCCCTTTGCATTCTCTCCAAGGCTTTACTGACTTCTTGTCTCGTTACTGGTGGGATGTCCTTGGGTTACTGCAAGCTCCTAAATCGAGGTCGTGGTAGTCTAGGCTGCTGAACAGATCCCTGTAAAACTCTTCTGCTATATTAACTATCCTTTTTATATTCGTAGTTATTTTGCTTTCTTTACCCTTTAGTGCATACATCTGGTTTTTGTTTATCCGAATTTCCTCTTCACCGCTTTGACGCTTCCTTCGTTCTTTAGAGCGTGTTCAATTCTCTCGATGTTGTACCTTTTTAAATCAGATACCTTACGCTTATTAATGAACATTGAAAGCTCTGCCAGTTCTTTTTGGTCTGTTGTGTTTGATGCGTTCATGCCTTCACGTTTCCTAAAGAGATTTTCCTGACTTCTGGGACAGATTTTCAGTGCCCTGTCTGACTACCGTACCTTCAACTTCCACCGCACACTCCGTAATGATGCTCATCAGATTATCATTCATTGCGTCAACGCTAAGACTTGTTTTCTCGATAAGAGCCGTGTATCTGTTCTAAAGCGAGACTGAATTCCTGTACTTTCTCTCTCAGTGCTAGCTCATTGAATGGCTTCTTGCATATCAGTTTCTGTCGTTCCTTCTTCAAGACTAGGAGAATTTGATACGTTATCATTTTATGGTCACAGCATCATAGCTTGGCAAGCACTTCCACATCATGCACGATGTCTGGGTGTGCATTCAGTAAAAGTATATTTTTTGTTCTTAGTTATGTCATTTTCGCCTCTATGTACATTTACGGTTCTCTCGTTTTCGTAGAAGGTATTCAAGATCCGTAAATTCTTTCGTTCTGCAAATTCTACTAATAACTCTCCTCTGGCATTCCTAGTACCGATGCCATAATCTTCTACTTCTTTGTCTTCAGCCTGCTTCTTCCCTACATTGGCTTTAAAGTCACTCATGGTAGAGTGTCCGGTGTTTTTACCTTATTCTCATTGCTGATTCCATGTCCTGACATAAGCTTTCAAATAGCACGTTTTAACGGCTGGATGTAGGGGCGTAAGCCTTTAGCAACTTTATTTTGTATTTTCATTGAGTTTGCGACACATACCACCCTTTCATTATTGCTATCATCATCATCATCATCATCATCACCACCAGCCTGACTGCGTCTACTGCAGGACAAAAGCCTCTCCCATGTTCCGCCAGGTAACTTGGTCATGTGCTTTCTGCTACCAATGTCTACCAAAAAACTTCTTAATCTCATCTGCCCACCTAACATTCTGTCTCTCCCTAACCCGCTTGCCATCTCTGGGAATCCAGTTAGTTACCCTTATTGATCAGCGGTTATCCTGTCTACGCGCTACATACCCGCCCCATGTCCATTTCCTCTTCTTGATTTCAACTATATTATCCTTAACCCTCCCCCCTTTGTTCTCTAAACCACTCTGCTCTCAGGTCGCGGGTTCAAATCC